ATTTCATAAAAAATAAAAAATACATTTTAAACAAAGAAAAATAGCTAAAACTTGCTAAAATGTGTCTTACCTATTTACATTCATAAAAACGAAACATGAGAACACATTTATGACAGGGGGCTCAGATGCATTGATAATTTAAACTTTAAAGGAATTGAAAAATTTTAAAATAAATAAGATGGAATTAAATGCGGAAAAAGTAAAAAGAATCGGCTAAGAATCCGCCAAACACGGCCGATGCCGATCATTTTGGCCGATACTAGCCGATGGCGATGCCAATGCCATTAATCGGTCGGACTCTATTTCAACCAAGTGAAAATTACGTTATTTTTGATTGATTATGGTCGCCAAAAATCTCCACAAGAGTATCATGTTGTAGTTACATGCACCGCACCTAATACTGCCAGATTTGGCTGATTGCACATTTTGTTTTCTGCTTTTCACCTAGAGAATTTTGGCGATGAAAATTTAAGGTAGCGATTTTCGAAACTCCACAGCAGGAAGAGAAACTTATGCCACGACACCCAGGGTCTACGGAACGACATAGATTTATATCTGGCCAAGGACTGTCTCTAAAGTAGTTTCCCCAAAAATACTTTCGAAAACAATTTGTATGCTGTTACAAGCTCAACTACAATCTTAGATATGAAAAGAGGAAGCAAAATTATATATTTCTACAATGTAACGAAATGCGTATAGGTTATAAAGGGGGAAATGGGGTACCTATTCGAGCAAACACAAATAAAAATATGATCAGTTGCAGTCTCTAACATTCTATATATTTCAGCGCTCAGTGCATATGCTGTACACATAGATTTCAAATCATACTAGAAATATACATAGCAGTACAATTTTTTATTGCCACTTAAATATTTCTAATTGATCTTGCTTATGTACTTATTTTAACCCAAATCGAATAGCGTGAAGGTTTGCCAAAAAGCGGCGGATTAACCACCGGCTTTGCAAACAGCTGCGAGCCTAGAAATCACCTGGTGCATCATGAACTGTCAAAAAAGCGTGGAAAATGCCAAATTTTCACGAAAACAAGAAATACTAATCTGCATGGAGTAGAATGCTACCAACCTCATTTTTTTATTTTAATGTTGTGACATTCATTTGATCTTTTTTTAATAAAAATTATACTTTTTTACTTTCGAATCGAGTTTTTTATATTGCGTCAAATCGACCACAAGGGACTCTATCGTGACTTTTTGTAAGGGACAGATGCGCGTTAAATTTGTACAGTCTGAATTCATTTTATACACCCCTACTCTGCAACTCTTTCGTTTTCGGATTTTGCTACGAATCGTAGAAATAGTATGCTGCAATCCGAATCGTATTTTCGAACTTTCGAAATTCGTAACAATGGCATGCCTAAAAACGAACGAGTAAGCTTTTTTGCGTAATTTTGTACGAAAACAATTCTGTGTCGGAGGCGAAATAAAAGATGTAAATCGATGTGTGTTTACAAGAAATATTGGTGGTGTTTATTTAAACATATAAATTTGCCTTTCGCATATACGTAGATTTTTATCCACTGCTTTATATAAACGAGCAAAACAAAATCTTTGTTGCCCCTTATTGAGAAACTTGGGTCCGGTTTAGTTATTTGTACAATGATTTTCGGTTGTTGTGTCCAAACGCATAACTCGAATCCAAAAACTTTAACATACACATGTAATCAAAGGATCCACATTTTATTTAAGATAAATGTTTCAAATTTCCTACCACTAGCGTATTAATAAACTCGGTTTGCACTATGCACTTTTTTGCAAATTTCGACGTGGGTTCTGCGCAAAAATACTGTGGACGGCGTAGTCGAAGTGATATGCACAATAAATGTCGTATACCTTTGACATGCAGAGGCCCCTCTTCCCCCCAACACAGAAAGGAGAATTCTACTTAGTAAGGGTTATAATCCCTAAGCGCGGCCGAAGGCAGAAGCAGGCGCAACAGGTGGTTGACCTAACAAAGTGCATGTTTTCAATGGCTTGGGAGAAGCTGTTAATGCATTAACTGGATTGAGAACCAGCGCTTCAGGCATAGGAGGAGTTCTGGCTTGTGGTTCAACAATTCAACCATAAGCTGACATAGATGAGACCATGGTTACTATGCCCGACAGCTCCACATACCTTTGTGAATCCATTGCCATAGCGCCCTCTTACTCTGCTGCTATAATTGCAGATGCATCAGAACCCCTAATTTTCCTCAAAATATGTAAAATTAATTAATTTTACAATAAACAAACACACGATGAGTTTTTTTTTATTTCTTTTCCACTTTATTTTCCTTCATTCAGCTTTCTTCGAAAAACAACTGATAGCTGGCAATGCTGCACATGTTTCCGCAAGGGTTGCAGCATGTGGATTTTTCGTTTTTCGTAGCGTAGCTACGAATAACGAAAATTCGAGTTATAGAATAAGGGGGATAGACTTAAATCTTTTTCGTATGCAATGTTTTCGATAAAATTTATAGTCACTAATTTCAGCCCAATTTGTCGCGATAGCTTTTGTATTGTCTAAATATCTGTCCTGAGGGTTTATGCCAAAAAATTTTTTATTATTTTGACAACTGTCAAAGCCAATTCAAAATATGAACTGTAATGCTCTATTTTCATATTTTCACTCTTAATATTACGTTCAAATTGGCCCCATTTAACTTGTTAAATGAAAAAGAGCTTTTTGGAAAACACAATCTTCCACATTGAACATTTGGAGTTAACTTTGACGGTTGTTTGATTACCAATAGCAATTCGAAAAAAATATTCAAAATAAATTTTTTATATTTCAATTTGTTTTGTACGAATGTCTGCTTCATGATATTAACATATACGGATAACTTAGAGACTTAAAAATGTTTATCTTGTAAGCACTAATTATCTCTGCGTACGATGAGACCTCATGGAAAATACCTAATTAGCGCCTGGGCCTCTTTTTTGGCGGGCAGACATGCACACAATTTTGATATTTTTTGATATTTTTTGATAATTTTTAATTTTTATTTTTTTCATAATATAAATTTTTTTTAACGTTGCCGTGTCAAATGAAAGCTTTTGGGTCTTTCTGATTGGCCGGAGCAGAAAGCTTTCTGATACAACTCTGTGCTGAATTGATTTTCAAATGAATTAAATGATTTCCAACAACAATTGCATGCGATTTAACTTGTTTATGAACATGTTTTGTTCATTGAACTGGTTCAAGCCCATTTAACATGTTTAGCTCGTCAATTTGAACGTAGTATAAGACAAATGCGACAGTCATAAAACCAGTTCCCTCAAATTGTGCGAAATTTGGCGCCAACTGGGCGAACATATCCTCGACTCATATACTTAGATACGTCAACGATACACTTCTTCAAAACTGTTTCAGCTTTACGCGCTGATAAGTCGGCTCCCCACAAAGTAATTATTACCTTCTGCCTCTCCCAGAGAAGTCGGCTAATTTTTAGCTACACTATACCGCTTTACCCACTTATTTACCAAAATCTTCAATTTTTTCACGTATTTTTCTGCTGATATTTTTGTTATGCAAATTTTGTTTTCTAAAAGTCCTTATTCGCTGAATTTCATTTCAATTAAGAGCGAATCGTTTGGCACCGTAGGCACACAAAATTTTTAAAGGAATTCCAAGAAAACTGTCCCCCTTATTCTAGAACCCGAATTTTCGTAATTCGTAATGCGTAGCTATGCTACGAAACACGAAAAATCCACATGCTGCAACCCTTGCGGAAACATGAGCAGCATTGCCAACTATCAGTTGTTTTTCGAAGATAGCTGAATGAAGGAAAACAAAGTGGAAAGCAATTAAAAAAAAACTCATCATGTGTTTGTTTATTGAAAAATTGGTTAATTTTACATATTTTGAGGAAAATGATGGATTCTGATGCATTTGCAATTATAGCAGCAGAGTATGAGGGCGCTATGGCAATGGATTCACAAAGGTATGCGGAGCTGTCGGGCATAGTAACCATGGGCTCATCTATGTATGTCAGCTTATGGTTGAATTGTTGAACCACAAGCCAGAACTCCTCCTATGCCTGAAGCGCTGGTTCTAAATCCAGTTAATGCATTAACAGCTTCTTCCAAGCCATTGAAAACATGCACTTTGTTAGGTCCACCACCTGTTGCACCTGCTTCTGCCTTCGGCCGCGCTTAGGGATTATAACCCTTACTAAGTAGAATTCTCCCTTCTGTGTTGCGGGGAAGAGGGGCTTCTGTATGTCAAAGATATACGACATTTATTGTACATATCACTTCGGCTACGCCGTCCAGTCCACAGTATTTTTGCGCAGAACCCACGTCGAAATTTACAAAAAAGTGCATAGTGCAAACCGAGTTTATTAATAAGCTAGTGGTAGTAAATTTGAAACATTTATCCTAATAAAATGTGAATCCTTTGATGACACGTGTATGTTAAAGTTTTTGGAATCAAGTTATGCGTTTTGACACAACAACCGAAAATCATTGTACAAATAACTAAACCGGACCCAAGTTTATCGGTAAGAGGCAACAAAGATTCTTGTTTGCTCGTTTATATAGAGCAGTGGATAAAAATATACGGCAAAGCCAAAGGCAAATTTATCTGTTTAAATGAACCCCACCGATATTTCTTGCAAACACACATCGATTTACATCTTTTATTTCTCCTACGACACAGAATTGTTTTCGTACAAAATTACGCAAAACGGCTTACTCGTTCGTTTTTAGGCATGCCATTGTTACGAATTTCGAAAGTTCGAAAATACGATTCGGATTGCAGCATACTATTTCTACGGTTCGTAGCAAAATCCGAATACAAAGGAAATGCAGAATAGGGGTGTGTTACTCTTACGAAAAACTGTGAATTAATATTTTTTGTAGGCAATTTCCCAAGCAACCACTGAGTGTATTGCTTAAAAGTACAAAAGAAGATGCATATAAGAATCTACCTTTCCAATAATTATTGGAAGTTCGGCATTTTTAATTTTTATTTACTGGACTAAAATAATTTTTTGAAGCTTACCATTAAATTTTTAGTAGAACCTGTGGCACGTCTCTCTGAATATATGTGTCGAAGTTGTTCCATTCCTGGTGCCGCGATAAAAATAACGAACGGCATTAATTCTTGACTGTTATGCAAGAATTTCAAAGTGCTCGGAGCACAGTCTAAAATACACATGCGTCCTGAGAAAGGAAATATTGGTTAGCTAAGTACTGATAAAGTAGACCAAGTGGCTTACCACTTCTTATTACTTCCTTCACAGAGTCCAAATGCAAGCCGTATAAATGTCCATTGTGTTCACCATACTCAAGAAATTCATTTCGTTTTATTTGTTCTTCCATTAGTTCTCGATTAGTAAAATAGTAACCGTTACCGGTTTCCTCCAGACTTCGTTTTGGCCTCGTTGTATCTAATTTTTTTTATTTACATTAAACAAAAAATAACAGTTTATAAAACTAAATCATGGAGTATAGGAGTCCACTTAAAAATAATATTAAATATTTGAAAAATCACTAGATATTAAAATCTTCACTGTTTCGTCCTGTTGCATACAAATTTAAACTTACAGGTCGCAATTGCAACCGGTAAATGTTTTTTAATAAAAACATATTTGAATTAATTAAAAAGTTGTTAACTTGTCCACTACAATTAACAATTAATTGTTACTCTCCACAATTACAGTTAACCAACTGATAATTGTTGTGGTAGCAAATAGCAATTAATTAATTGTTATGTAATTGTTAATTGCCCTTACAATTGAAATTTGCCCAACACAGCTGTACCATGCTTTGTACCATGATTATGTTTATTAGGAAAAATGGAAAAAGAAACAAAGTCTAAGCGGTAGCAGTTATAGCTGCTATTTCGGAGATCACCACATCTCCTCATCAGACTTCTGCTTCTATACTTCAGCAGAGATCGAACCCGCATCATCGATGTGCAAAGTCAGAAGCGCTAACCACTGAGCTATGTACACCCCGTAAACTCTTGTTGGTAATTCATTTCTTATTCAACCTACTACTATCAAGTGCAGCTAATTTTCCGCTATTTCAACTTGACAGGGCGGTTTTTATTGTCAATTCTATACATTAATTTGCTTTATTGTATAGTTCCAGGCAGGCTCATCCTAAACTATGTATTTGTCAATGTTATTGTAGCTTATTAACATTTTAATTTAATATTGTTATTGAGCTTTGTAACACGATTACGTTTAGTAGTAAAAATAGAAAAGGCAACAAAGTTTAAGCGGTAGAAGTTATAGCTGCTATATCGGAATCACTTCAACAGGGATCGAACCCGTATCACCACTTAACTATACAATAAAGCGAATTAAGTTTAAATAGCGACAAATCAGCTGCACTTGATATTAGTAAGAAAGGTTTACGGGGTGTGCATAGCTCAGAGGTTAGCGCTTCTGACTTTTCACATCGATTATTCGGGTTCGATCCCTGCTGAAGTCTAGAAAAATAAGTCTGATGAGGAGATGTGGTGATCTCCGAAATAGCAGCTATAACTGCTACTGCTTAGACTTTGTTGCGTTTCCTTTTGTCTTAATAAACATAATCGTGGTGCAAAGCTCAAGAAGAACATTAAAATAAAGGAAATTGGTGAGTAGTGATAAGAATTTAATTTAGTTTATGTATTATGCAATTAATGAAATAACGGTGTGTTAATAGATTTTAAATGTGCCTGAGTTCTCTTCTAACTTATTTTATTTTAAAAGAAAATGTACATATAGTAAACAAAAGGCATGAACAGATTTATTCTTTTCGAATGCAATGCTAATTTTAAATGGAACGTGAAGTACCCAAAGTTGTTCACACTTGAGTGCTTATCAGGTTTTCTGAGAATGTGGTTATACTTTTATTCGGTTTACAACAAATAAAATACGCAACAGCATAACAATTTTTTGCCAGATAACCTGATAACCAGACAAGTGTGAACAACCTTAGTATGTAAGTCTTTTAAAAATGTGTTTTGGTGTCATAATTTGTTTTTCGTATTTTGTATATGGTAGGTGGGCGTGTCCGTTGTGCGATTTTGTAAATTTTCGGTCTTCAGTATATAAAAAAATGACGTGTGCAAAATTGTATTACTCTAGCTCTATTCCTTCTATTTTTGGCCGCCCTTAGTACTGGGACGTCCCTTTGTGTGTCGTGTCGTGGCGCTTGGTGCGGTCTTACTGCCGTCCCTAAATTGGCGCGTCAAATGTCAAACAACTGTCAAAAATCGTCATGCCCGTACAATTTGTATTTATCATCCCACAATAATGCGGCGCTAGAGCTGAGCAAATGGAATTTTCATTTTTGACAGGGCGTTACATGTTGAAGTTGGATGCAGAAGAGGAAACGAGAGGAAATGAGAAAACGTCAAAAATTACGCAGCGTTGATTTGGGGATAGCGCGCGCTGACACTCGTTGATAATGGCAAACGCTACGCTTAGCGCTCCAATTTAGGGACGACGGTTACCTCTATTGTTGGCACCATTAGTGGGCTGCACGTTTTTAGGCGCCGTAATAGTGATGCGCATATTGAACACAGGGCCAACCAGCAGTTTCTTTGTTCATTGCTATACTATCTTATATGTTGTGTAAAAATGTCATAGCTATACCAATTGCTGATAGCTCACTAGATCAAAATATGTATTAATATTTACTATGAAATTATATCTACATTCAGAACTTTATAGTTGTTTTACTCGATTTTTTGGTTTCTTGAGTTATGACAGTATTGAAGTATATGAGCGATATGTACATTAACCTTCGGAGGACACACCTTTTTTATTTGACGTGAACGACACACTGGGGTAAATTGCACCCCAATTGAAATGTTGCTTTTAAAACACACAGCTTAAGCTTTTTTTGCATATATTACGCTGGAAATATTTAGATAAAATAAATTTAAAATGAAATGTCTTATTGAATTTTTCAAAGGTACAAGATCATATAATTGCATGGTTAGCTTTTATTGACATAACGAAAAAGTTTATCAAAAATAGGCTTTGCACTGGGGTGTCTTACACCCCAGTGTGTCTTCTGAAGGTTAAATTTGAATATTTATAGTTCAAAAATAAAAATTTTTTCCAATGAACAAAAACATCGTAATTTACCCTATTATAATTTCAACTATGATCATATTACAGCATAAATTACTTAAGGCGGATTCACCGTGCATTTCCGGACAACTATTTATTTGCTCCTAAAATTTGTTTGTTTGTTATTGTTGTTGTAGTGGCTACAACAACCCCACCCAGATCGGTTAATATCTCAGTCACTGTCGTCAAGTTCCACTAACGGAAGCCCCAGGAAGAGTGCAGCCTCAATGGGGTCGGTCCACAAGGACAAAGGCGTTAGTGTTGTCGGGTTTTCCGGGCATACGAAGAGATGTTTCGAGTCGTGGGGTGTCTCTCCGCATGCCGGACACTCATTTGGCACATCTGCGTTTACTCTGCTCAGGTACGAGTTTAACCTGCTGCAGTAGCCAGAGCGAAGTTGGGCTATTGTAGTTCTAGTCTCCCGAGGCAGATGAAGCTCCGTCTCGTCGATATCCGGTGGCTGTGTGCCTAGAACGGCATTCACATGTCTGGAGTCTACATAACTCGAGACTGACTCCCGGTGAATGCCGTTCAGGGCCTGTCGATATGCTGACGGGTCCAGAGGTTGCTTAATGAACCTCTGGACTTCGTCCTTAAGTTCGTAGAGATGCCTCCTGACGTGCCTTGGTGAGAGCTCTTCTGCAAGCAGTTGTCTATTTGGGTCACCACGACTGTGGCTCCGAACCAGAAACTGCTTGCAGAGCATTGTGCTATGCTCCTTAATAGGGAGCATTTTTGCCTCGTCGTGCAGGTGGTATTCTGGTGACATCAGAAGGCATCAACTGCGCCCTACTAGTCCCCGGGGGCCACACTGGTGCTGCGTAATTTAAAACTGCTCGGCCTATTGCCTTGTATGTTGCCAGCAACGTTTCTTTGTCTTTGCCCCAAGTACTGCCGGGTAGCGACTTGAGGACCTTGTTGCGGCTCTGTACTTTGTTGACAATAGCGGTTGCGTGGGAAGAGAAGGAGAGTAGACTGTCGAAGGTTACTCCGAGTATTTTGGGGTTATTCACGGTTAGCTGATTCAAGTCTACAGCAAGTTCACAAAATTAATTGAAAACTTTGCCCCAAGTACTGCCAGCTAGCGACTTGAGGACCTTGTTTGGATCTGTACTTTGTTGACAATACCGGGTGTGTGCTCAGAGAAGGAGAGTATACTGTCGAAGGTTACTCCGAGTATTTTGAGGTTATTCACCGTCGGAAGTGGTGTATCGTCGACGTGAAGTCGCAGCGGAAGTCTGACCTCCTTCGTCCAGGTGGTGAACAGGGTCGCAGAGATTTTGTAGGGGAAAGGGTTAGACTCCTAGCAGTTAAGAAGCGAGAAAGCTCGGAGAGATACCCGTTTACTTTCGAACACAAGTCATCAGTTCCATTCTCAGACGACATTATCGAATAATCGTCGGCATTTGAGACAATCAAGGTCCCCTGGGGTGGTTGAGGGAGCTTTGAAATGTAAAAGTTATACAGTAGCGGGGAAAGGACACCATCCTGTGGAACCCCCTGTTTTATTTTTCTAGGTTTACTCGATTTGTCTCTAAACATTACCGACGAGTGTTGACCACTAAGATAATTCGCCGACCACTGTTTGAGCCTCTGTGGGAGAGAGGAGGCCTCTATGTCTTCCACTAGCGTGGAGTGGATGACGGTGTCAAACGCCTTTGACAGGTCCAACGCTACTAGAATAGTTCTTTCACAGGGACGGTTGGGGTTTAGGCCACGTGTTTATGGCGTTAAGTGCTGTTGCTGTACTGTGCACTTTGCGGAAACTATGCCGATGCTTCGCTGGGGGCAAGTGGTTCGTGAATATCTTGGTATCCTTGCGGTCGATGTCTGATTCAATAAGACGATACTGCACGGTGTGGTGCGTGATGAAAGCTAGGCCACCACCATTATCTCGCTCGTGACCTCAAAGGTGCACGTTGTATCTGGCACAATTCAACAATGTTGAATTGCTGTGCAACTTCGTCTCTTTGATCGCAGCTATAAATATACCATGCCTTGCTATGAAGACGGTTATCTCCACGATCTTGGTCTGAAGTCCGTTGCAGTTAAATTGAAGGAGCTTCATGTGGTTCGGGAGACGTGTTGTGCGGGGTGAGAGAAGTGTGTTGCCTGGCCGCCATTGGCTGTGTGCGCTGCTGTGGGGGATGCCACCCTGTGGTGGTAGTGAGTGGCGTCGCAATTGGGGTTTGCGACCGAGCAGCGCAACACGGGTCCTCGAAGTTCCTCGTCCTATCTTGCGTGGTGCGCAGACCTGAACATGCCCTAAAGTGGCACCAGCCAAGGCAAGTGTTGCACTTGACTGATGTCACGTTACGGA